CTCCCCTTTGCCCCCCAAATCTCCTTCTCTCCCCCCCCATTTCCCTTTCCATCCCTTTGTCTCTTTCCCCCTCCTTGCATCGAGTCCAATCACAGCCCAACCCTACTGCACTGTGGGGTCCTATGGGGTCCTGTGTCCAACCTGTGTGGTTCTATGGCATTCTGTGTGGATGTATGGGGTTTTATGGGGTCCTTTGGGGTTATATGGGGTTTTATGGGGTCCTATGGGGTTGTGTAGAATCCCAGAGCCATGGAATTGCTCAGGTTGGAGTGGAGCTTAAAGAGCATTGAATTCAACCTCACCCCAACCATGCTGTTCTCATTGTGGGATCCTATGGAGTTTTATGGGGTTGTATGGCATTCTGTGTGAATGTATGGGATTTTGTGTGGATATATGGGGTTTTATGGGGTCCTGTGGGGTCTTGTGGGGTTGTATAGAGTCACAGAGCCATGGAATTGCTCAGTTTGGAGCAGAGCTCAAAGAGCATCGACTCCAACCACAACCCAACCGTACTGCCGTAATTGTGGGGTCCTATGGGGTTGTATGGAATCCTTTGGGGTTGTGTGGGGTCCTGTAGGGCCGTATGGCGTTGTATGGGGTTCTGTGGGGTTGTGTAGAATCCCAGAGCCATGGAATTGCTCAGTTTGGAGCAGAGCTCAAAGAGCATCGAGTCCAACCTCAGCCCAACCATACTGCCCTATATATAACTATGGGGTTCTGTGGGGTTTTATGGGGTTCTGTGTGGACATATGGGGTTCTATGGGGTCCTTTGGGAATATATGGGGTTTTATGGGGTCCTGTGGGGTCTTGTGGGGTTCTATGGAATCCCAAAGCTGTAGAATTGCTCAGTTTAGAACAGATGTCAAAGAGCATCGAGTCCAACCACAGCCCAATCATACTGCCATAATTATGGGGTCCTATAGGGTCTCGTGGGGTTGTATGGGTTATGTGGGGTCCTGTGGGGTTGTATGGGGTCCTATAGGGCCGTATGGCATTGTATGAGGTTCTGTGGGGTTGTATAGAATCCCACAGCCATAGAATTGCTCGGGTTGGAGCAGAGCTCAAAGAGCATCGAGTCCAACCACAACCCAACCGTACTGCCCTGCATCTAACTATGGGGTCCTGTGGGGTTCTATGGGGTTCTGTGTGGACATATGGCATTGTATGGGATCCTTTGGGGACATATGCGGTCTTATGGGGTCCTGTGGGGCTCTATGGGGTTCTATGGAATCCCAAAGCTGTAGAATTGCTCAGGATGGAGCAGAGCTCAAAGAACACCGAGTCCAACCGCAACCCAACCGTATTGCCCTCATTGTGGGGTCCTATGGGGTCTTGTGGGGTTGTATGGGTTGAGTGGGGTCCTATAGGGCCATATGGCTTTGTATGGGGTTCTGTGGGGTTGTATAGAATCCCAGAGCCATAGAATTGCTCAGGTTGGAGCAGAGCTCAAAGAGCATCGAGTCCAGCCACAACCCAACCGTACTGCCCTCACTGTGGGGCCCTATGGGGCCCTATGGGATTATTTGGCATTCTATGTGGATGTATGGGATTCTTTGGGGGTATATGGGGTTTTATGGGGTTTTGTGGAGTTCTGCGGGGTTGTGTAGAATCCCAAAGTTGTAGAATTGCTCGGGTTGGAGCAGAGCTCAAAGAGCATCGAGTCCAACCCCCCCTCGTACCGCAGCTCTCACCATAGGGCCTTGTAGGTTCTGTAGGGTCCTGCCTTAGGGGTTGTATGGGGTTCTCTGGGATTCTGTCCGGTTCTGTGGGATTATATGGGATTTTATGGGGATACATGGGATATATTTGCTTTTTCCCATCGCCATCACGTTCCCCTTCCTCCCCATGCCCCCCCCAGCATCGATTTCTGCTCCCCCATTGTGTCCCCCCTCAACATCCCACTTTCTCCATCCCCACCCCCTGCGTTTTGTCTGCCTCACAATTGTGATCCCCTTGCAGCCCCCCCATATTTCCCCCTTTCTCCATTCCCACCCACACTTTTTCTCTCTCCCCCATCGTGTGTCCTTCCCCCCATTTT